AATTAGAATTCTGGATAAATTCTTTCATCATCAAATCGTTATCCAAACAGAGAGAAAAACAATGTCCATGTTGTAATTAAAAATAATGATAATATATTGCTATTGCTTTTATCAATATTCTATATTTTCATTTTTTTTCCAATTCTCAACATCATCATGAATGAATGAAATATGAACCAGAAAAAAATAATTCTGAAAATCAAAAACTATGGCCCATCTCTTACAGTAGTTGGTATATATATTAGCATCATCATCATCTGGGCCATGTCCTGTGTGTATACTTTAATGATGAAAAAAAATTTTTTTTTTTTGGTCCAGAATTTTTTTGGCAGCAGCAACAGCAGCAAAAACAAATTATTCCACATGATTTAAAACGAAACAAACAAACAAACAAAAACGATTAGATGATGATGATCATCATCATAATGATGATAATAATAGGAGAGTCATCATCATATGACTAGATTTCATTTTTTTTGTATATGGAAAAAAAAATTATAATTTCCGTTATAAATTCCAACCATTTTATATGGATTATATTTTTTTTTGTTTGTTTGTTTGAAACTTTGAATCAATGATGATGATAACAAAAAAAAACACCATTGATATTAATGTAAATCGAATGGACGAAATAGAAAAAAAAATTGCAATGGTCAGAATTTGGGATATCGAAATAATTTGGTATACACACACACACGAATATACAGAATTCATTTATGAATTCGAGTTATTCGTGCGTGCATTTTTGTTGAAAAAACATAAAGCAAGAATGAAATGAAAAAAAAATTACTGAAAAAAAAAATGTGGGGAAAAAGAATCGAAATGATGATGATGATGATGATGATGAACCAGAACGGCTAAAAATGAAAATGAACCATAGCTAAAATGGAATTACAATGGACATAAGCGTTTATATATCGAAAAAAAAGATGGAAAAAAACAAAATAAAAAAAAAATTCTAGAACAAAGAATATATAGAGGTGTATATGAATTCTGTATACGAAAAAAAAACGTCCCGAGAGATAGATAGATAGATAGAGTGAAAAAGGAAGAAAGAAGCAAGAAGCAAGAAGCCAAACAAAGAGAAAAAAAATTGTGAACAAACCATCTATCTATCTATCTATCTATTCATCTATCTAGCCAATACATACACAAACATACAAAGTATTCAGAGCGAGAAAAAAAAACCTAATTGCCAACAACAATATTATCATTAGGGTCCAGAATCAGTCATCCAAACACCAGAGGAAGAGAGAGAGAGAGAGAGGAAAAAATGGACAACGAAAATATATCGCACTCTTCTTATGGTTTTTTTTTTTCTCTCATTCTTTCTTTTTATATTTTGTTTCGTTTCATTTAGTTTCACACTATTTCATCTCTCTTTCTCTCTCTGTTTAACAATATCTACTTTATTCTGGACCAAACAACGATGATGATGATGATGACGGCAATAGGATACATGTTTTAAAAAGGCGACGAGTCAATCGTTTTGTCGTCGCCCAGAACAAAAATCATCATCATCATCATCATCAAATTCGTTGGCACCCGTATATTTCACTGAAAATGAATCTAGAATAATGATAGCCGAAGCGAAAAAAAAGAAATGACAAAATTGGCATAAATAAGTTGAACAAGAAGAAAAAGGAGGAGATAGGTTGGTTGGTTAGTTGGTTGTTAGAAGAAAAAAAATCATATGAAATTGACAAAAAAAAGAACGAAAAAAATCCAATCCAAAAAAAGAAAAAAAATAAATCATCAATATGGATTGGCCAAATAAAAAAAAACTTAACGAGAAGAAATTTCCGATTGATGGCTAGCGGGCAGAATAATATTATTAATGAATAACTAAAAAAAAAAATTTGTCCACATTTTATCAAAGAATATTCTTTATTCTCCCCTAGCAGTGGTTGTGGGGTTCGTAATACATGTATATCATGGATATCATTGCGACAGAATTTGTCTGTTTCAAGGGAATTTATTATTTCTGGGATTTTTTATTGTTGTTGTTGTTATTGCTGTTGCTGTTGTTGTCGTTCGTCAAACCCAGACGCGCGTAATCATTTACACCAATTTTTTTTTTGCTTTTTCCCTTTTCAATGATATGTAGAAATGGTTGGATGGGTAATAGAAAGAAAGCGCTTAATTATTCATCATCATCATCATGATTATATGAATGTATGAATGGTCCATAGAATTTGTCACACATTTATTCATTCATTTAGTTTAGCATATCATCACCATGGCACCATTTTTTGTTTGATTGTTTGAAAAGGGATAATTCAAACAACAAAACAAAACAAAAAAATTTTTTTCTCTTGACAAACCTAATATGATGAAAAACAAAATATTATATGGAACAAATCAGTGAAACAGAAAAACAATGAAAGGGAATCATTACAAAATCATAAATGCAATTGGCCAAACTAGAAAACAAAAAACAAAACAAACAAACAAACAAAAAATTCAAACCCAATTCATAATTCGTATGAATCTTGAGCTCATTCTAGCTATATGTAACAGTATTATCACCATTCATTCATATCATCAACCAAAATAAAAAAAAAAAAAAATTTGAATTCTATAAATATAATAAACATGGCTATAGCTATATACAGAATAATCAGAATATATTCGAATGTATAAAAATATATAGATGGATGAATAATTCAAATAATACAAATGAATATGAACAAACAAATCAAATGATTAAAATAACAAAACAAAAAACAATAGCCATATTCATTCATCCATCCATTCATTCATTCATTCATCTATCGAAAACAGTAACCAAAGAGAAAAAAAATATGGTCCAAAAGTAAAAAAGACAATATATAAACCAGACAATCGAGAAAGAAAAAAAAAGGATAAAACGCACTTGAAATCAAAATGACAGTTACTCTCTCTCTCTCTCTCTATGGTTGGGTTGGGTTCTCTATGCGACAAATTCTCTGTCTGTCTATGTGTGTGTGTATGTTTATTTATTATTTATATATACTGATTCATTGTATTATTGAATGGGAATGATGGAGAAAAAAACCACACCACAGAATAAAATGATTTCAAATGAATCCGATTGGAAAAGAATAAAATGATGATCCATAGAATCCATATGTGAGGATTTGGTATCCAGACAGACACACACACACATTCTTCCATGGAATAGATTCATTTTTTTCCGGTATTCAGTAGTAACCAATCATTGTGTCAACATTATTCGTAGCAATGATAAAAAAAAGTTTTCATTTCAAATAGAAAAAATAAATAAATTTAACAAAATGAAAAATTACATATGTGGACGACAGTGATTAAGTGGACTGGCAACTCTTTTTTTTCGTTTGTTTTGTTTGTTTGTTTGTTTGTTTGTCCAATTCAAAATAAATCCACATTATCAACAATGAAATTACAAATGGTCATAATAATATAGTGATAGTGGTGAAAGAAACAAAAATCTAATTAATCTTACATCATTAATCAAATTGGAATAGAATGAAAAAAAATAAACATCTGATTAACCATTTTGTTATAAAGATGACAGCATCACACACACACACACACACACACACACACACATGGTTACGATTCTTGATAAATTCTTACATTTCAAAATTCAATCAAATTTGATTTGGTTGACTTGTTTTAATAACTTGTTTTTTGTTGTTGTTGTTGTTTTCATTTATCTATCATAATAAAAAAATGACACCTTCACATTTATACCTTCACATACAGTGAAAAAAAATATATATGGGTCAATTGAGTGGTTCGAATTTCAAATTTTTTGTTTTCTAGATTCACTAAGAAGAAAAAAAAATATATGACAATTCGACAATCAATAAAAAAATGAAATGAAATGAAATGAAACGAAACCTTAGTAGAAGAAAATGAATGAATCAAATCAATGGGAAATGATTTTTTTTTTCTTTTCACTTTTCCATTGGAAACATTGAAACATAGGGGCCATTTTTTATGTTTCAAACGAGAAAAAAAATGGAATAGAAAAAAAAATCAAAATAATGGCATTCGAATTATTATGATAATAATGGAAAATGATTGAAAAAAAAGAAAAAGAAGAAAACATATAAATATACACGGTGGTGAATGAAAAAAAAAAAAAGAATGGAATCGACACAATTTGAAACAATTGTAACGACCATCACCACATAGAAAGAATATACAAGTATATTTGGACTTTATTTTTTTTATATTCTATATTCTTCGTGTTTTGGAATATGGAATTCAATTTTTTTTTCTGTTCTTTCTATCATATTTCATAATATGGTTTTTCACTCTGTCTCTCTCTCTCTGTGTGTGTGTGTGTGTGTAAGAAATGATCTAAGAATAAGAAAAAAAAAAAAAAAAGCATATCATTATAGAATTTCTATAAAGAGAGTAAATGATGATGATAATAATAATAATAATGGATTGGATCGATACAAATATATCCATAGTACATACACACACACACATAGATAGATAGATACATGGATATAGAATTGTAGAAAACGCATATTTTGGTTCAATTTTTTTTTCAAAGCAATATCTATGTATATTTATTGTTATTTCTAGCCCATCATTATTTATCATCTATTTCTATCAGTTATTATTCAATGCAATTTGAAATCATCATCATCATCATCATATATTTATATTGTTAGATAGATAGATAGATAGATATATTTCCTATATTGATTGAATCGAATAACAATAACGATGATGATGAAAATTTCAGGAGAAAACAAAAATGAAAAACAAACAAACACGCTACCGAATGAACATTGTTTCGGTGATAGAAAAAAGCAAAGATTTTTTTTTTCATTTCCTAGAAACTCCTAACAATTAAGTAACAATAAGGTGCACGCTGCTATATATTAATAAGATTTGAAGTGTTGAAAATCGATTCTTGTTGTTTCACGAAAAAAAAGTAATTCTTGATGGAATTCAATTTGAATTCCAAAATGTATCAACAACAAAAAAGTTTTTTGAATATCAAAAAAAAAACTTACAAGAATCGATATGATGATGGATGAGTAATATATTTAGAATGAATATGATCGACATTGCAATACGATATTGTCCACAGTTTATTGATTGTAATGTTGATGATGATGATGAATTTGTTGATGGTAACGGTGATGGTAATGGTGATTGAAATTGTAATTTCGTTTGACAATTTGTCGATGATGATGATGATGATGATGGAAATGTTGAAACTGTCAACAACTTTTTTGTGGCCATTATTGCTCGAGGACTTGTTGTTGTTGTTTGAAGATTTGTTTTATTTTCAATGCTTTCATTGTCGTTGTCGTTGTAGTTGACTTTATGAATGAAAAACTTTTTCATATGAAAATCACCATTACAATTGTATCCACTGTTTTTATCTACAATTTCATTATCACCATTTTTTGTTGCTGTTGATGAAATATTCACATTATCAACTGAAGATGAAGCATGAAAATTTTGATTCAATAAAAATGAATTCAAAGATTTTGTTGTTGCTGTTGCTGTGGTCATTGTTGTTGATTGAATTTTCGTATCATCAATCGATAACAACGATAATGGTGATGGTGATGAAAAAATCTGCTGCGGCTGCTGCTGCTGTTGTTGTCGTTTTCCATACAATTCTATTGATGGTAAATGAATTTGTTGATCATCATGATAATCAACAATATTGATTCGTTGTCGATATTTAGAAGACATTTTTTTGGTCATATTTTTTTTTATTTCAAAAGTAAAAAAGAAAAACTTTTGTCTCGTTTTGCCTGTCAATATATTAGATGACGTATCACGCGATAACAACAACAACATCAGACTTTTTATTATCCGAATCTAAAAAAAAGTCGTCGTTGTTGTACTTTTTTTTTATCAAGCGATGATTATGGACCAAGTGTGAACACTAAACTTGGATTTTGGACCATATTGACACACACACACACACACAAACCTAATGAAAGAAAAAAAAGTGATGAATAATGAATAATAAATCAGAGGAAAAAAAAGAAATGCCAAAAGCAACAAAAAAAAATTATTAATCATTTGATCTAAATAAAATGAACTGATTGAAATGTGTGTGTGTGTGTGTGTGTAAACAAAACAAAAAAGGAAAGAATTGATGATCTATATGGATGAATCGATCGATATTGATTCGTTTGATGAATGAATGAATGAATAAATGAATATACAAAGAATTTTTGGCAAATGCAAACAACATATAGAATCAGAAACCATAAACTCAACAAGCAAATTAATAATAAAGACCAAGACATTTCAAGTCCACAAAAAAAAGTAGTAGTAGTAGTAATAGTCATTAACAACGTTAAAGAATTTTTCGGTTTGTTTGTTTGAGCAAATGGGAAAAAAAAGGGTTCCAGAATCGGATTGTTTGTTTTATTTCCTATTCTTTTTGTTTTATTCTTACAATCTCTAAGTGTGTGTGTATGTCTCTCTCTCTATCTTTCGCTCTATTTAATTCTTTATTGGGTTGTTATTTGATTTTTGTTTTTTTTTCTCTCTCTCTCTCTCTCTCTCTCTTTCGCACTCATTTTTATTATTCATTCATTTAAAATTATTCGTGTTTTTTCCTTATTTTGTCTGGTTTTTTCAAGAATTTCAGATTCTTAGAACTCTAAACACATAAAAAAAAGTTGAACATGATAAAAACCAGAGAAAGAGAGAGAGAGAAAGAAAACCAAATGATTAGATTATATAACTGTATTGATTGCATATTCATCATCATCATCATCATAATGAACATCCAAGATAAACTATAGTTAGTCAACATAGAGAATCATTCCAAAAAACAAATACAAAACATAAAACTATTTGGTAATCATTTTGGGTTTGATCTTTGTTGGATACCATATAATAATATGATGATAATCATATGATATGACCTATATCTAATCATTAATATGTTCCGGAAATGAAATCAATTTCCCTCAAGAGTAAAAAAATGCTGTGTGTAGGCGAATGTTTGTTTGTTTTTTTCACTGTTATATGAAGAAATGTTGTCAATAAATATTAGTCCATCCGTCCGAAACGGATAAACAATAATAACAACAACAACGAACAAACAATATTGATTGATTGATTGGTTGGTGGATGAAGATTCGCCATACATATAAACATTGCATTGAATATTCGTAGAGGATGATGATCATATGAATGAGAAAAACAGAATCGCCATCCACGAGAGAGAGAAAAAACAAAAAGAAATTTTTCTTTGATGAACCGCAAACATTATGAGAATCGGAAACAAAACAAAAAAAAAAAACTTTGGGAATATTCTTCACTATCATCATCCATTCATTCATTCATTTTCATTTTCTATTGAATAATTTTTTTCCATGAAATACAGATTGCCAGAAAAATGTATTGTTCAACCCATCAGTCCAAGCGGTACAAGTCCAAACCGCCAATCGATAATGATAATGAACCTAAAACGGTTACGTTTTCGGTGATGTGTCTGATGATGATGATTCAGATCAATCGGGTTCTGGTTCCGATCGTCGTGGTCCTGGTAGACCAATTGGTTCAAGAATCAACAATATCAACGAAATGAAGAACGTATGCAATCACTTCGTGATGTACCTGGTCGTTCCCCATTGTCGGGATGGTGTTGTGTGTCATGAGCCATCCACGTACGATGATGAAGCGATTAATAGTATTGAATCTGTTAAATGGCAAGAGGCCATGGATCGTGAATATCGTCAATTAATGAAACACCGTACGTGCGTGCAGATAGTGGAGAAACCTAAAGATGTACCGATTGTTTCCCGTGAAATGGATATACACTATAAAGGATGATGGAAGATATAAGGCCAGGTTGGTTGCCCGTGGTTTTGAACAAAAATCGAATTCATTGGATATTTATTCTCCCGTCGTCCAGATGGACGCTATTCGTTTGTTTTTCTCGTTAGTCGCATCGTGGAATATGGATTTAGTCCAATTTGATTGTTCCAACGCATTTTTAAACGGTGATATCAATGAAACCGTGTGCATGTAAACCAGCCGCCAGGTTTCGATGATGAAACTGGTCGTGTGCTTACTCAACGAAAGGATTATATGGTTTACGTCAGAGTCCACGAAGTTGGAACCGGAAGTTTGATGAAGCTATTGTATCATTGGGTTTTCAGTCATCAATTTTGGGATCCATGTTTATATTTCATCAGAAATGAAATGAATTTACACTCATTGTGTTTGTATGTTGATGACGCTATTGTGGCTTCTACTGTACCCGGTAAAGTGGAAAATTTATTCGATAAAATTGGCCACAACATTTGAAATTCGTAAGGTCAATTCTCAAAAATATCTTGGTATCGAGTTTACTAGAGATAGATCCTCAAGATATTCTTCACTATCATCATCCATTCATTCATTTTCATTTTCTATTGAATAATTTTTTTCCATGAAATACAGATTGCCAGAAACGATGTCCATTTTTTTTCTTGCTGATGTAGAGTTTCATTACAATAATTCGGTCAAACAAACAAACAAACAAAAAGGCATAAAAGGGAAATAAAATAAAAGTTTCTGGAACACAAAACAATAATTGGAACAAATGAAAATACAGATACAGACCGTGTTGTTGTTGTTATTGTTTATTTGCAGTCGCAGCAGTTGCAGTGGTTCCGTATCAATGTGTTGAGCAATGAATCCAGTTTTGAATGTTGTCATTCACAAAAAGAAAAAAAATTTCAAATCAAGAAATTTCATCATATGGAATATGACACACACACACACACACAAATACAAACGTGGACACGGGGAAAAGATGATGATGATGATGATGATCAACTTTGGATTGGATAAAATTCGAATTGAAATGAAAATTTGTGTTCAAAAAATATGTTCAATGTGTGCCAGTTGCAGTAGACGAAAAAAAAATGGGCCAAAATGAACGAATTTCGATTTCGATGAAACAAAAAAAAAAACTTGAAATCTGAACAACAACAACGACAACAACAAAAACAGTTTTTCAAATCATTCAAGTTGAGCTATTTGATGATGATGATGATGATGAAATCGACACACACACACGCACATAAACTATGAAATTTCAAAAATTTTCAAAAACGAATCATTTGGATTCTTTACACACACACACACACATACAAACAAACATACAGAATGTATGATTTCGAATTGAATTAAACACTGTATTGAATTAAATTGAACTGAATAGTGAAGAAATAAGAAAACACCAATCAAGATGAAATTATTGTAGTTGGCCCAAACACTCATGACATGTTTGAACATTGGACTAAGAATAAGAATCTAGTACCCAAAAGGAACCAGATGATGATGATGATGGTGATGATGACATACACCCACATGTAATACAGACACATAGACACAAACAATGCGCGTTAAAAAACAGGCGCTTTTTTATTTCTTTCATCTCATCTCAAACGTTTTTCGTTTGTTGAACAGATTCAGAACAGTAAAAAAATGAGTCTATAGAATTCAGAATCGGGTTTCAAAAAGATGATTCTTCCATTCGAATACAGAATACACATATACACACACACAGAAGACACTGGAATTCGATTCTATTTTGACATGTACTGCCACTGCTGCTGTCAACAATAAATGTATGTGTGTGTGTTTGTTTTGCTTGGCTCAATACATCAAGACTTCTGGTCATGCGTGATTCGATTGATTCGAATTTTTTTGTCGTCGTTGTTTTTAGGTTGCTGTTATTGTTGTTGTTGTTGTTGGTTAGAATTTTAAGCTAAAGCTAATACAGCAGATTCTGATTCTCATTTTTTTTTGTCTTCAACAAACCAACGAACGAACGAACGAACGAAAAAATTATTCTTGAAGCCGAAAAAAAAATTGGGAGCCTTATTGACTGTAATATATATGAAGAATGACTACAACGACGACGCCAAATGGAAACAAAAAGTGTTCCACACACACAATGAAAACAATGCCCATGTCGAAAAATGATGATCCAGAATGAATTCAAAACCTAGTCCTACTATGTTGATTGGTGGCCTGAAATGAGAATGAATGTTTTTCGTCGTCGTCGTCGTCGTCGTCGTCGTTGTTGTTGCAATCGAGTTCAAATGATGCCTACATTTTATCGTCACCAATGGTGTTTCATGGTGGATGTAAAAGTTGAAACAAACTTTAACCGACCCACACACACACACACACACCGACAGAAGAAAAAATGGGCTTCTGAAATTATTTTTGATACAAAAAAAAAAAAGAAAAACCTCTTTGAGATATCTACCCAGATATCGAAATCTACTTACGTTGTTCACAACTCGCCCCTCCCCACCACCACCAAAAAAGTCACACACACTTTTATTCTACAAGCTTCTTCTGTGATTTCAAATTCGAATCAATGTGAAACTTTTGAAAAACTTTGAAAAATGTTAAATTCTGAAACAAAACAAAAAAAGAGAAAGGAAAAAGTTTTAAAAATCAAACGAAGAATTTCAAGAAAAAAAATTGTCTTGAAATTTAATTTACAAAACAAAACAAAAAGGAGCGAGAAATGAAAAAATTAAATC